GCCGAAGTATTGCAGTATTGTTTTTGTTATCAGACTATAGATGGATAAGTCCTGCCAAGTAGGTTTTCTGTTTCAAGGATTCAATTATGTGTTTTTTAATATTGCTGTCTTCCAACTGGTCCTGACTTCTTTCTCACTCCATGGCCTTGATGGGCCAATGTTGACCCTGTAATTTGTCATGCTACCAGATTAAACAGTGTGTATATCACTTCCTCCCTAAGACAATATCGGCAGCTTTCTGGGCAAAGCCTTCCCGACAGGGCAACGGCATTTCCATGTGATAATCCCTTCTTATGATGGATTGTGATATCACATTCTTCGAATCTCTGTATCCATCTGGCAATTTAACTTTCAGAGTTCTTGAAATTTTAAAGTGAAGTCAACGAAGCGTGATTCATGTGGAGCAAGAAATTTCGGCCATATAGGTAATGATGGAAATGTTCTGCAGCTTTAACTATAATGAGACACTCTTTCCTGATGACACAGTAGTTCCTCTACTGTTTTGATAGGCACTTGTTTCAGTAGCCATGTTTATTTTTTAAGACAAAACAGCAGCGACACACCAAATTAATGATTTGTTGAGCTGAGGATACGTCAGAATTGGAGCTTCCTCATCAGAGGATTGTTTAAGTTTCCTTCAGGTTGTTAAATGCATCCTCACATTCCTTTATCCACAAGAACTTTTGTTTGCTTGCTTTGTCAGTTTGTAAAGAGGTCTCTTGCGACGGAAGAAGGTTTTTCACAAATCTCCTATAGTCCCCAGGAAACTTCTTAGCTGATGGACATTTTCGGGGCATCTCCAGTCTTTCGGATGACACTTTTTCTAGATCTGTACTCACAGCTTTGGCAGAGGTGACATGCCCAAGGTAAGTCACTTCCTATCTGAGTAATTTACATTTATGGGACTCAACTTTAAATTGGCTTCTTTCAATTTCTGTAGCATTTTTTCTAAGATTTTCTAGATGTTTTTAAAAACTCTTTCTGACGTTGATGATTTTATCCTGGTCTATCAGACAGGCTTCGTAGAAAAGAAAGACTGTTCAAAACAGTCTCCATTAGGTGTTCGAATGTTTCGTAGCATTAAGTAGTCCAAACAGCATCACTTTCAACTGCCAAAATCCGTGTCTGGTAGTAAATGTCGTCTTTTCTCGGTCATCAGGATGTATCTCTAGCTGCCAATACCCACTCTTTATATCAAGTGTTGAAAACCACTTGCTTCCTGAAAGAGTATCAAGAATGTCGTCAATTCTAGGGAAAGGGTTGCTGTCTTTCTTCATAACCTCGTTCAACCAGCCCTAGTCAGTGCAAAATCCAGTAGAACCATCTTTCTTTCTCAAGAGGACGACTGGAGGGTGCGCATGGACTTGCTGAAGGCTCGATGACATCGCTTTCCTCCATGTCTTTTAGAAGTTTTCATACCTTTTCCCGTTTAGCAATTGGTAGATGTTTTGGATGTAGCTTAATTGGTGGATGAACCCCAGTGCTCTATCCTGTGTCAAGCTGGTTTGACCAACATCAGAAGATGAGGAGAAAACATCTTGAAGTTCTTGAATGATATGTTTGGCAGCATTCCTCTCTTCATTGTGTAGTTATGCATTCTGCAATAACTCCTATGTAAAGCTCTCTAAGACACGGATTCTGAGGTGTTACTGTTTCGTTTAATGCTGGTCACTGGATTACATGCTGTTATCTTTCTTAATAACTCTGGCTTTGTCAGTTACATTATGCAACTCTCACTAGATAACGTTTGATGAGTACTGAGGCCACTAGTATTTTGTGGTGTTACAGTTCTTGGGATATTCCAATATTCCAAACCAGAAACTCTGTTTTCGGCTATGGATCCACTAAGTAGGAATTCTGTTCTTGCTGGTACAGTGAGTGATATCATTCTTGAGTTCTGATTTGATGGACAGCTTCATTCATGAGCCCCAGTATCAACTCATGCTGTGTCAAACTGGTTCGACCCACATCAGAAAACGAGTGGGAGAAAACATCTTGAAGTTCTTGAATGATACGTTTGGCAGCATTGCTCTCTTCATTGTGTAATTATGCATTCTACAATAACTCCTATGTAATGCTCTCTAAGACATGGATTCTGGGATGTTACTGTTTCGTTTAATGCTGGTCACTGGACTACATGCTGAAACGAGTTCATTTTTCTTAATAATAGTTTCGACAATAAGTTTTTTCTTTATAATCTTGATAATGGGGAATCGCTAAAGGACCATTTCATCCATTCTTCGTTAAGGACCCAGAGAGATGCTACCAATGTATACAAAGTATTGTATTTCTCCTTAAACTTAAAAAATTTTATTTCAAAGTCATTCTGTTTAAAAATTGCTGATTTTAAGTAGAACACAAGAATGTAAATATGTAAACTACCATATAGCACTCAGGGCCTGCTTAAGTGCTGTTGCAATAAACTGCTACTATCTGTTGCTACATGAGATTGTTTAAAAGAATGGTAGTCAGCCCATAGAACTACACAAACCGCTACATATATAATTTTATATTTGGTGGGCCACTAATATGAATTTTAAAAAGAACCTTATATCAGACCTTAAAAACAACATATTAATATGCAGAAACAATATTCAACTTTCCAATACATTTAATTCTAATTTTCATTTGTTAATATAATCTTCAAAACATTTGGTGTTCAGCAGCATGCCTTTATGGAAATTCAGGCTACGTCTCTGATTATGAGTAACAATTAAAACACTATTAACATCTCTTCGATACATACATTTGTTTGTTTACATTGAAAAATTATATGAAAGTGTAAAAATCTTACTTTATTGTACATAAAGCTTCACATTTCCATGTCACTGAAAAGGAACTTCATGAAAATCAAGAACAAACAGGCAAAAACGCAAAGCAATATCAATAAACTGAAAGTTAGCACTGGACCTATGCCCCCAATTTTTAATTATTATAAATATGAAATCATCGCTTTCTCAGCAATGGTGCCATCCATCAACAGTTAGATAAAACAAAAATGGAAACTTCCAGTGCTGCAATTATAAGCAAGAGTGCAGATGGCTCTCATAAAAATCTTTAAAGTTGCCTATTGACAAAGAGAAAAACTGTTTTTAATGACTACAATAGCATATGTTTGTAATTCAAAAGGAAAGAGAATTAAGTTTGCACTGTTATTGATAACAGCAGCATATCTATGGATGCCAACTCTCACTTTCAAATGTTGCTAGACACACCTGCAGAAGTAGCTAAAAAGTTGCTAAATTCAGAAGCAATTTATTAAATGTAGTAGCTAAAATTTTAAAAAAAAAGTGTAATCCATATTCCATAATAGATTTTGTTACTTGTTATTTTTTAAACTGAATCTTCATAAAAATATAGAAAATGTTCCAATTTTTCTGCAGACCAACAAAAAGTTTTCACAGACCACCGGTTGACGACCACTGGTTTAAAACATGGTATCCTGAGTGATAGGATTGATTTGCAAATTGTATGTAATGAAAGAAATTGTATGATTATATCCCTGCAAACTTGCAAGAATATAGCTATTCATTTGAATTAGTTACATATTCTTTTGTATAGTGTATTTGTTTATCAAGTATTTAAATAGATTAACTGTTACTATTGATTGCTGTCAAAAAACATTAATTTGAACATAATTCATATACTTTCTCTCCTACTAAAAATATTTCCAGGAAAGTGTTGGAAATCCAAAAACTTGCTAATCTCTTTACAGTTGACAACTGAAGAACCTTAAAATGATTAATACAATGGGTGTTTTCTTAACTTTGGTATTCTGCAGCTAAGAATGAGTTTTAAACTTTCTGAGAAAGTTTTTGGTATAGCTATATTCTAAATCAAAGATAAAAATGTTTGTAAAAGCCTAGAATCATTATAAATATATGTTGCTAATTGTGAAATATCATTGGAATTGTAATATATGAATTATTAACTAATATTGTGACAATCTCAACTAAACCAATAGATTTCATTTTTGTTGTTGGAATTTAATGCTCTTCATTTTATAAATTAACTCTTTTGCAGCTGCTTTATAAAAATTATTATCTAGAAAGAATGTAAAAAAATAAAATGGTATGTTGATTTATTTTGGCAGTTTTTACCATAAGTGGAAACTTTGATCTATGTTCGATAGTCGGTTATGATATCAACATAACTATTTTTGTAAGTTGAGGCTGTAATACATCTTAAATAGAAGGTGATAATAAAGTAATTTATGAAAAACTGGAAATATTCCTAAGTATGAATCTTTAGCACAGCCATTTTAATATTTTAGTGTGTTTGTGAATTTGTGTGTGTGTGTGTGTGAATTATATTTAAAATACGATTTTAGCACTTGCACCAAAGAACTCTTGCATAATATGTATTGCTTTTACTTAATTGCTTAAGAAGTAAAAATCTTATTGATGTAATTTTAAAATATTGCAGAATTCAGTAGATTGATATGCTGCTTTTAACATTTTGTCCTTGAGTTCCATAACTCTTCATAAGAATTAAATTCATGTTATTTTTTAATATTGGAAGTGTGATGATATGACTGTATGTGTGCAGAGTTTAAATGAAAATAAGGATGCTTGGTCTTATACATATTTTTTTAATTGGTAGAATTTTTCTCTTTCATAGCACTGAATAACACTACTTTTCACGAAGAAAGTTTGATTTTTCTTTTAACTTATTCATTCTGGTTGATATCGTAAGTTTTTATTTCTAGAGTATTTAAAATCATACCTTGACAAATACCTTTTCTACTAATGAATAATTATTAATTCTTCAGTAAATTAATAGCTCTCATTTTTATTTAAGAGTTCTAATTGTTAAATTTGCAGAATAAATTAGAAGCATAGTTAAACAAAAGTTATTGCTTAGTGATAGAAGTAACTGTAATAGCTTCAAATTGCATTGTATATGGATCCCTTATGATGCATTACTAATGTACTAAAAGAAGTTTCAATTATTATCATAATTAATTCTATATGAAATATTTTTTTTTCCCCCCATTAAAGGTTTAATAACACTTCTATCGAAGTTGAGGAAGAACCAAAAAAGAAAAAAAAGAAACATTCTTTGTTAAATTCTGAAACTGAGATAGAAGTTAATTCTATTGAGTTTAGTGGGAAAAAGAAGAAAGAGAAGAATTCATTGGTGAATTCTGAATTTTCGGCTGAAAACTCAATCGAAGAAAATGAAAGCCTTGTTAAAGCAAAGAAGAAAAAGAAACGAAAGCACTCAGAATCCGAATCTCAGGTGGAAGAGCATTTGAATTCGACATTAGAGATAGAAGTTTCTCCAAAGAAGAAGAAAAAAAAGAAGAAGATTGAGCAAAGTTGCTAAAATATGAAAACATCTTATGTTTAATAAATTTTATTTTGATGAAACTGAATCCTTGATATATGTTGTGTTTAAAAAAAATAGAACTGTGGGTTTTCCAATTTTGAAGACTAATGAACTTAAAATGGCTTGTAAAATTTTAAGTTTATAAATGAAAATGACATTAAAAAATTCTCCCCCCCCCCAAGAATGAGTATGGTAGCATGAAAAATATGTGGTTCATAAGTTAGATGTGCATATCCCCAGCTATAAAGAAAACTATTTGTAACAAGATTAGCTGTAAACAGTAGTCCATTCACTCTTCTTGCTTTCCTCAGGGAATAACTTCATACAGTAACTTTTCCTTCATAAAAATGCTAGTATGAAGATTATGCAGCTCAATATTTTTCTTATTATTTCTTCCAAAAAATCTAAATTTGGACATCACACAAGTGTAAATGGCGGTTTTATTTTGTAAATATAAATTTGGTTTAAAATACTATCACATAGTTAAAAAAAGGCGTTATAACTTCCATGCAAAAAATTGGAACTACTCTTATATGTGACCTCAGGTCACCAAATGCGGCGACAAATTTCTCGCCAAAAATATTTGGTGAGAAACTCCATGGTCCCATATTACTTTCTAAATTTTTTGTCTACATTTTGAACTTTAATCCTAAAATGTCTCCAAAAACACAGTTTTCGCTCATGCAAAAACCACGTTTTGAACACACAATTTAAGCTAAAAATCCGAAACAAAAACAAAAAATTTAGATATCAAAAACCTAGTTTCTCACCAAAAAATATTTGACAAGAATCCATGTACACAGTGATATGTTTTAAGTTAAAAAAAATCTACGAATTGAACAATCTAGTCAGCGAAGGTATCTACAAACTACGCACACCTCGCTTTAATAAATTAACATACCAACAATAAATTTCAAAGAATACCATGTACACACTGTTTAAACTTTAAAAAAAATCTACAAATTGCACAATCTGGGCATTACGCACAAATCAACAAAATAAACTAAAATAAATTACAAATAATTCAAAAAACAATAACAGAAATTCATAGTAAAAAAACAATGAACATAACATTCTACAAAATAAAATGCACTTACCATAATCAATGCTTTTTCGGACAGTAGAATGTAGCTTTAAGTGGGCTGCCAATGGTATTTATATGACAGCCAGACTCGCTATCCAAAAAATTCATACTATGGTTCACAAATAAATGTTCAAGACCTTCTTTTCCTAAATCCTTGTAAGATTTCCAGCAATCCGAAAAAATATTTGTATAAGGCTCAATTTACTCTTTTAATATACTGCATCAGCATTTCTTTACTTCTGTCATGTACAACCATTAAAAATAATCTCCCTGATTTTCTTGCAACTACGTCCTCATTGCAAAATAGGCCATTTCAAAACACGAACCAATGAGCAATTAAACCACTCCAGCAAAAGAGTTTTCAACGTCAAAAGGGCTGCCATACAACACGCAATCGCCACATTTGGTGATCTTAGGGCGCATATAAGAGTAGAGCCAGAAAATTTTGTATTCTCTCTAAAGCTGGTTTATTTGTAGGAATGAAACATCACAATTATTTAATGTTATGGTATTTGTATGTTAAGTGCATAATAGCTTGCTGATGGGATAGCAGAAATCATGTAAAAGGCATTACTGAGCACACTTTTGGTCTACCTGTTATTGTACAAGTCTAACCATTGTGGATTTTAAATCCTGACACAAGACAGAAATCGTCATAACAGGCAGCAAAGGATGACAGTATCTCACTTCTCCACGCAAGCAGATTTCATATACATTCCTGTACATGGAAATTTAGGACCTATCAGCAGATGGGAGTTGAATAAATTAAAGCCATTACATATGCCCAAATTTCAGTTCTGTAATATGATTCTAAGAATAAAGCAGATCTATTAGTAGGATACATTATTATTAAACATAATATAACGTTTTATAATTTTTTAATTTCTATTAAAATTGTATTGCTGTCATTAGGTTTATAATTATATCGGGTTTTTAACAAAAGTTTCTTGCCACCTCAAATATCGTCTGCACAAACTATCTATATTAGCGTGTTTAATCATATTTTATCAAATGATATTTGGCATTTGAAAGAAGACTTGCTTAAAACACTGTATTGTGAAATTGGGCAAAAAAATATTGTTATCATCGAGTAATCATATCGGATTTTAACAGGTTTCCATCTGCGCAAATAGTCCGTGTTAGCGTATTTAATCATATTTTGTCGAATGACTTTTCAAATTTGAAAGAAAGAGACTTGCTTTAGAACACTGTGTTGTGAAATTGGTAAAAAAAAAAAAAAAAAAAAAAAATCGTTTAGTGGTTCTATGCATTGCATAAAGTTGATTTACAAGTTCAGTCACTGGGTGCTGCATGAGCTGACTCAAGCAGATAAGGACAGAACTGTTCGAGACTGCACTAATCTGCTTGAAAATTAACGAATGGGCAAAATTCTAGACAGGATCGTCACTTGTAATGAAAACTGTATTTACTTCAACCACATGAGTCAAAAAGAAGGGTTAGTAAGCACTCGAGCATTGCAAAGCTCAATTTGATTAACAAAAGGATCATGCTTCGTATCTGAGAGGACTGCTGTAGTATTATTCACAAAGAGTATCTGGGAAAAGGTGAAAACTTTGACAGTAAAATCTACGGCAAGATACTAGTCTGTGTTGACGTTGCTATCAAGATAATGCACGACCACATGTGTCTGCATTCACCAACTGGATTCTATTAGGTCTCAAATTGGATCTTTTGCCACACCCACCATATAGCCCCAGCATGTCTCCTTAAGACTTCTACCTTTTTCACACCCGCAGCTATGCCTTGCGGGTGCTATCTTAGATTCTGTGCATGATGTCCAAAATGAGGTTGATCTGTTTTTTGTACTTGTGGCCACCAAGTTTCTGGGCCGAAGGCTTTAAAAAACTACCAAAACTTTGGTAGAAAATCGTAGATTTGGGTGGAGATGTACTTTTATGTTTTTCGCCCCTAACTTTAAATCATTTATTAAGAGCCCTTTTTTGATGGAAAACTTACCGGATGTTGTTACAACCGGACATTAAATATATTCTAAACAAATTCAAGAATAAAATCAACTTTATAAAAATTATCAAGTATTTAGCATTAAATTAAAAATTTCATGAAACATTTACACTATACACGTACAGTGGTCCCACATATTTTAAAGAAGGTTAGCGACATTTTATTTACATTTTAACAACAGTTAGCTTTATATTTATTCTTTAATGCCTTGTTTCATCATGTACCTGCTCAGTCTAGAGGTAGATTTTATATCAAGTGGCATAACTTGAAATGAGAATTAAAATAATAATCAGCATGGTTTGTAGCAGAAGCTTTGCTGTTGCCACCACATCTGCTTGCCTAGAGAGGGAGAGAGACCTGCCGATCAGAACAAACCTAAGGCCTGATATTGGTAAGTGTCGAAAGTTACATAAAAGTAGCAAAGCAACAACCTCGTGTTTGGCATAGATTTTGTCAAGATCTGAATTGAATCCGAGGGCAAATGGGTACAGGTCTCTCTTCATTGGAGAAATCTTCAAGACTGGAAAGCGGCAGGTATAATGGTCGTATTTACCCTAGAGCAGTAAAGCGAACACGAAGATAGCATCAAATGTCTGCAAAATAGTAATGAAATTGAAAACTCAAGTTATTAGGATTTTAAAGGCATTAAGAAAAACTAGTTTACATTTAGTCATTAGTTAAACAAGATAAACCTTTGTGAATGTAGAACATAAGGTTGTTACTTTGCTAATTTTATGTTTCAATTTGGCGTGTTTATCTTCTCTTTTGATTGCTGAAAGTTAGCTTTACATATTTGTGTTGTATCTTATTTTTCCAGTACTATGCTCGTCAACATTAAAAAAATGGGAAAATGCTGCTCTACTGGGATAGGTTTTTTAAACAGGTGCCCATTTTCACTGAACCTTCAGTTCACCGTTATCTTCTGTTTTGATTGTTGAAAGTTAGTTTTATATATTTGTGTTGCATCTTGTGTTCACAGAAAAGCTTAATGAAAGGCAGTAACTCACTTTACCATGCAGAGATAACTTTTAAGGGTGAGTGGTTAGTTACCAAGTTATAATTAAATTAGATAATTAGAAATATGTTGTCACTATAAATTTACATGGTCAATATGAATTTAAAAAAATTATTTAAATACATCACAATCTAAGAACATTTTAGTTTAACAGTTAATTACACATATGATTTATGACATTCATTCTAAAATGATATCAGAATAATTCATTATATTTTTAATTAAGTTTTGTAATTTTGCTGTTGAGTTGTATATGGCATAAGTGCATAGAAAATAATGCTAATTATAAAGCTAAAAAGGAAAGGTAAAATAGGGAGGGGGTTGAGTAGGAGTGACTGTAACAGCAGGCGGTGAGCTCAGCTAGAGTGTAAAACCATAACAAACCCTTTTGGGTGACGGTTAAAACTCGAAACCTTACTTTTTAAAAATTTGTTTTGATAAACAAACCAGTGTTCCCATTAGTCTCAGCTTCATCTGCTAACTTGTTAATACAGTACAAAGTTAGTCGGTATTCTCGACACAGCAATTACAGGACTTGAACAGTGGAACTTTGTAACTGAACAGGAAATTATGTCTGTTTATAGAATTTAAGAGAAAGTATTAGCACCCCCCCCCCAAAAAAAAAGAAGCAACTTAAACAACTTACACTGAAAGAAATGTTTACAAAAGTAAACAAATATTAAGGGTTTTTTTTTTTTTTTTTTAAATTTTTAATTTTGAATTTTGACACCTTTTAGATCATAATTGCTCTTTATTTCATAAATTACAGTTTCATATTTTTAATTGTATAATTTCTGCATGCCATCTTACCAGATTTAAATTGATGATCTATAATCCGGAATCGCCGAAGTCCCGACAAGTCCGAATTACAGACTTTGTACTGTATTTCAATAGTATACATTTGAAGAACAAATTTCTTTTGTTTTACGTAATCATCTTCTTCCTCAAGAAATTTCCTCTTCAT